AACTATCATATACATGTTCAATCAATACACAAATTCGATGTATTATTCCAATTGTCATATTCAATGACATATTCAATTAATTAGTTCCAGTTTGTCTAATCATCATGCATTGTCTACAACAATCACGACTATCCTCCACCGATAGCACAAAGCAATTATTTCTAAACAGATAATAAATGCATCAACAGATAGTTTATCAACATTTTCAAAAGTGAGCGATTAATAAATTCAACTTCACTATTCCATCTCATAATGAGCCAATTTCATTATATTCAACTCAATTTCATATTCTCATAACAAATGTCATTAATTACTTAAATGACCCCATTATACCCAAACATAGCATTTTTTTCCCTTTTTCCAATATTGACCCAAAGGTCTAAATATCAACAACTAACATCAATAACCTCCTTTTTAGACCCAAAATAATTATATATGAGCCAAAAGAATAAAACCCCTCTTTTCATTATTACATAACTCAAACCCTAACTTCCCAAATCAAACCATCTATACAAATAGCTCAATATCTATGTTAAAGCATATAAGAATGAGTAGGAATCCTTACCTCAAATTCGGAGCTCAAAGGAAGAAGATGAAGAAATTCAAAGTGCACCAAATCCCAAGATTTTCGGATTAAAAGATGGCCCTCAACGATCCACACAATTTTTTCAAAGGCCCAAGGTGAGGAAATCACTCATACTAGATCAATCCCTAGAGAGAAGGTAAGGTTTTAGAGTGAGGTGCTCTCTAATGGAGGTTTTGAAAAAGTAAGAGAGAGAAAGGAAATCAAAAAGTGAACTGAAAAGTGAAATCCCGGAGTGTTATAAAAATCGCCCCGCTCGAGCGTCAGACACAGACTCACGCTCGAGCGTCAAAAGCGCCGCTTGAGCGTCGATTGCACACCTGCAGAAGTTTTGCAGACATGGTCCCTGCTCGAGCGTCAAACTCCCTGCTCGAGCGGAGGAACAAAATCAAAAGGGTCACGCTCGAGCGTCAAAACTCCCGCTCGAGCGTCAAAAGCTCCGCTCGAGCATGAAGGCCAAATTCTAGGCATCAACCTTTGGTTTCAAAGCACAGCCAACCTGTTTCAAACCTGCCCAACACAACCCAAGACTCAAATGCAAGGAGTAAAGGATTCAAATGAGAATGAGACAACAACACATCCACGGAACCGAGTCCGGAATACAATAAATAAAGAGAGGAT